CGGGTTGCGCGGTGTTGCAAAATTGACTATCGATCGGTAGCCACCGATGGACATTAGAATTGAAACATTAGTCCATTGGAATGGAAGATAAATATCGGTAGTTGTCGCGATAATAGTAATTAAGTAAGCTGTAATGGCAACGAGGATAACGGGCCAGAGATTGTCACGCAAATATCGCGTCTCGAGTTACGCGGTCGCTCTGCTTTTGTTGCACGTCTGCATCGAGCAACTTGCATAAACGGGTTATTAATGGAACAATTACAGTCGACTGCATCGTCGCAAGAATATCTATCTCCCGTGGAACTTTCTGAAAGGATGTCTCGCGTGGTTCACGTTCGTCGAAGTGTGGCCCGTTCTTGCGCGTTCGTCCGGAGATAAAGGAAGGCAAGATGGCCGACCGCGGCGGCGCTAGTGTCGCTGACGTGGAACTACAGAATCAGTTTAAGCGACTGCGTTAAGAGTCGACTAATAAATGCAGTTATTTATTTTTATTACATTACTCTAGTTAAAACTACCTACACGTATGTTATATCTGATATATTATATTGTACATTCATAGTATATTACATTTAGGTATATATAAGGTTATATATAGGTTAGTATATAAGACCTTGTTAAGTTATTATCAAATGCTAACATGCAATACTATTTTTACAATATTTATAATATCTAAACTATGGAGGAGGAAGGTAATATTGAATTTTGACTATTAAATAAAAATACGAGACCAATAAATCGCATTTAAGATAATTATTGAGACAAATGGAGAAAAAATGTTAAATTAAAGAAGTGAAAGTTATAATTTTCTTAAACAGAGAGTTGATCTTTGATCATTTAACGAATCGTCTGCTATTTTCCTCGTGTTTTGTCTCGATTTACCTTAACTTCTATCTGAACAGTCTAAAAATTGTTTATCGTTGGTATTTTGTTAGCTTTCGGTCCCTTTATTCCATTACTTCGCTACATTTCAATTTCTCATATTCCCATCCTCTTCTCGTTGATTTTACTCCGAATTGCAATTTCGCTTCGACTATGATGTACCGTGTGTTTCATCTACCTGGTAAACAAGTAGCTGAATAAATAAACAAATACCGATGCCAAGTAATTTCTTGAATACCGCATAACAAAATTCAGCATTATGTAAATCAGGATGGAAACTTGTTAACGTTACTTGTCGCATTATTCATCGGTCTGCATTATTAATCTTTCATCTGGCACCTCGGCGGCTTACCGTCAACGTGTGTTGATAAATTCGCTCGATTCATCTAAAACCTTCTAGGAATATGAGAAATATACAAAATATCCTGCATATCCTATACGCAGAAAATTATTCGTAATTCGTTTGATTTGATTATAAATCAAATTGTTGACAAAATTATAAATAGTTAACAATTGCTCAATACAGATTCAATTCAAATTGCCCTGATTAGAATCTTCTACAAATATCAGAATTTTGCTGAGGAATAACGATATATCATTCTCAGAAATTCAACAAACATATTTGAAAAGGAATAAATAAGAATCAACTATTTACTAATTTCAAGGAATAAAACTTCCTCGACTATGCATATAGGCTCGTTAATTTTCAGCCTGATGACGATGAAGAAAATTTTTTTCCAAAACTTATAGTTTACATTTAACGAATTAAATTTTTTGAAAATTTGAAATTAAAAATGTCGAAAGAAGGTTACTTTTACGAGCGAGATGTTGTTAAAAAAGAGCAGTGAGAAAAATTCTCAATGGCCATCCCTGAGGTTCGAGAGAGTCACCAATAACTGCACTAGTAACAGAAGTCACGTGACAGTCGCGCATGCGTCGCTATGAGCATTGGTGCCCGGGCACGTTGGGTCGACTGTAAGTCTCCCTTCACGAACGCGATTGTAGTAACGTATATAGGGAAGGTGCGAAAAATGGAGCGAAGTTGAAAAAAACGTTTCCATTCGGCCATGGTTTCTAGGCACGTTTCAGTTTTCTACGCCCGAATGAAATTTTCTCCCTCCGCATCGAGAATTCTCACGGCGCGCAACCACGTAAGTGCTTTAATTGCCGCGTAACTCGATTACGTAAATTAATTAATTAATGCGATATCGGAGCGACCACGTGGCCCTTTCGGCCGTCTCTCGTAAAACGTAACGAATTTCGTAAACCGTTTCCAAGCTTAGGCAAATTTTTAGAATGGCTTTGTACC